AGATGAAAGAAAATCATTTATTTTGTATCTTGGGTGATTGTGGCCCTGTCCTATCTTCCCAGGCTGTAGAAAAGGCCCGGGCCAAAGAGGGCCCATGCCACGTCTGAGAGGGCCCATTCAATATATGAAAGGGCCCAGGCAAGATCTGGGAGGTACCATATTATGCCTGAGAAGGAGAGGGCCCATACCAGTCATGACAGGGCCCGTAGCGATGCTTAGATGGCCTTTGGAAGGAGCGCGAGAGCCTGTAAAATGTCTGAGAGGGCCCATACCAGCCGTGACAGGGCCCATACCAGTACTGAGAGGGCCCACAGCAAGGCCCATAACAGTACTGAGGGACCATCACACAAGTTATGTGAGGGCCCGTACCCTGACATATTACTGAGGGTTATGTCAGCCAATGGCAATCATGGAAAGGCCCCAGCAGTACTGAGAGGACTGTTGCGATGACTAGGAGGGCCCGTACCATACCTGAGAGGGCCCATACCACTCATGCGAGGGCCTGCAGCTGTACTGAGAAGGCCCTTGCAAGAACTGGGAGGGCCCGTATCATGTCTGAGAGGGTCCATACATTAGAGGGCCAACAACAGTGCTGAGAGGGCCATTAAAAGGTCTGGTAAGGTCCTTAGAATGTCTAAGAGGGTCCATACCAGGCCATAGAAGCCCCCTAGTAGTATAAAAAGGCCCATATCAAGCCTCTGAGGGTCCCTACCAGTCAAGGAAGGGCCTTTACCAGGTTCCAATGGCCATGCCAAACTGAGGATCTACCGAACGTCAGAAGGTCCATACCAGGCCTCAGGGGCCCAAACCAGGCTTCAGAAGGACCATATCAGGTCTCAAGGGACCAAGCCAGGTCTTTGAGGCCTCTACTAGGCCTTAGAAGGTTCATAATAGACTTAATGGGGACCTGACAGGTTTCCGAAGGCCCAGACCAGTCCGCAGAGGGCACCTACAAGGCCTCAGAAGGCCAATTTCAGGCCGCATAGACCCTAACAGACCTAGGAGGTCCCGCATCAGGCCACCAAGCGCCTATACCAGGCTTCAGATTGTCCATACTAGGCCTAATGGGGCGTAACAGGTCTCCGAAGGCCCATTCGAGACCTCAGAGGGCCCATATCCAGTCTCGGAGGAACATAGAAACTACATAGGTCTCATAGGGTCCCTATGGTATCGAAATCGCCCGCGAGTACGCCGCACCTGGTTGACCGGCTGACCCTGGCCGCCGGTCAACCTTCGGGTCAAGTTGACCCGGTCAACCGCACCATACTTGAGAGGGCCCATACCACTCATGCGAGGGCCTTTAGGGCCTTTAACCTAAGGGCATTACCCGAGGCGCCGCTCCTGTGTCATGTGTGTACCGGTGTTTTTGGGCCAGCCCTGTCGAGCGGAGCTCTTGTTTGAGCCACTGTCCGTCCGAGTCACTTTCCAGCCGGGAGGCGGGCCATGATAAACTCGAGTATTGAGAACACGCTTTTGTTCAGAATTTTGGCTGCTCAGGCTGATTCAGGTTGTTTACGTGGAATTTGTTGGTCAGGATAGTTAACAGCTTAAAACAAAAAAGGTTACCTATTCAAGTTACCACAAGAACAATGTCTTGCCTGTTGTCGAACGGACCCCCTCGGTTTTTCGCGAATTACTCGCGTAAAGAGCGGCTGATCGCAACGACACTTTCAGTAGTCTCGCGTTTATTAATTTTACACCTATCCTAAAAAAAAAATATGACCCTGACCCTAATGGCCTTTGGCCTGTGACCTACTTTTCGAGACCATGTTTGGCCGGAATCGCGATTCAGCGTATGTCGGCTCGCATGCAGCTGTTTGCAGTCTTTTCGTGGTTTCAAGCGTTCAAACATGGGGTATGATGTTACTCCCATGCATTAGGGTGGGTGTCAAGATCACCGGAAGGTCAGGTCAGGTCATTGACCTTTGATGACCTCGGTTCTCTTTTTTTCGAGTTTTACATGTCTCTAGGCTAGTTTTTTGGAGCTGAATTCGAATTTAGCAACCATTTGAACATTTGGTGCCTTCGTAACATGTTACGAAGCTGTCAGAGGCGGTTGCCACCTACTACGAATGACCGGCAAAACCCTTACTAGTTGACCTGACCTGACCTGACCCGACCTGGCCTAAATGCATGAAGACATCATCTATGATCATAACTAACATGATATTCGTGATCATCATCCCGAAAAACCCCATAGCAGCCACCTTTACGACGTTCTAACATGTCCCGATTTTCCCGACTTTTGGGTCATTGACCTGACCTGGAAGGTTAGCCGATGACCAAAGACCTTAAAATTGGGTACCATCGGCTTCCTCTCGTCACGGGCAGCACGCTGTTTTTTTTTTCTTCGAAGGTCTAGCCTGATCAGGGGCGAAATGGTAAGGGGGGCCCAACGGACTCCCGCCCCCTATACGTTCGTGGCTGGAAAAAAAAAACACCAATACGGGCGAGGGTTAAGACTTAAGAGTGAGTCTTTTAACAGAAAAGTTATTGTGTAGAAGGTAGGGAATGGTAGGTCATGGTACAAATAAAGGCTGGCATAGTGTTGACGGCATTGACGATATTTCGGAAATTTTGGGCCCCCATCTTGTTTGGGCCCTTTTTCTGAAAACCTGCCCCCGCAAGGCGAAATCCGTGGCGCCGTCCCTGACCTTGAAGATATTGACCTAGGGTCATGAAATTCACACACAACAGAGTTCCCCAGAGCCTTCACCTACCCTCCAAATTTCGTCTTTCTAGCTCCAGTGGGAGCTGAGATCTTGGGGGGGGGCGGCATCAGCCCCCCCCCCTTCCACTGGGAGTAGTACCTACTCGCAACCCTTCCACTGCGCGTGGTAAAACATGGAAACTAAACTCAATCCGGTTAAATGTCAAACGATCACTTTCACCCTTAGGACAACTCCCATTCAGTCGACCTACAGAGTTAATGGTCATGTGCAGAGTTGTCAGGAGGTGCGCGATTTAGGCATCCTTTTGGACGCTACTTAGGCTTACGTTTTCGCAGCATGTTGATGCCACCATACGGAAATGTAACAAGATGTTAGGCCTAATAATGCGCAGTGTACAGTTGCCTCGATGTCCCCGGCGGGTCATATTCAATCGAACTGCGCTGCTTGCCGCCTACAAAGCTCACGTCCGCTCAATTGCTGAGTACGGCAGCGTTGTCTGGAGGCTGGAGCGGTGCAGCAAAGACCCATCTTGTGCGGCTCGAGCGAATGCAGCATCGTTTTTTGATGTGGCTGGCATCAAACTCCGACGGAGACGGCTCCAGTCTTGATTAGGTACGTGCGTCTCCTGAATCGCTTTGGTTTGTGCTCGATTAAGTCCCGCTTTGTACAGACCGATCTTTCATTTCTAGTCAATGTGTATCGCAATAGGATTGACTGCCCTTACCTGATGGCAATCTTCGGACTAGCAGTCCCCAACAGACGCTCTCGACAGACAGGGCTGTTCCACGTACCTTTCGGTCGCGTGAACACTGTGAAGTCAGGGTTCACTGTCCGTATCCCTGTGCTATGTAACCGCTTCTTGCAACATACACCCACCGCCGCACCGCTGACATGTTGGCATCATCGTGCTCCGTTTTATCGGACATCCGTGAGTTTGCTCGTTCTCAGGGAACGTACATGTAATGTGTTGTCATCGTTGTGTGCATGTGTTGTGTTGTGTTACCTAGTTTAAATTGACTGCCACTGTAAATGGGCTGCAAGGCCTGTAGTCGGTTAATGCAAATACAGAATACAGAATACAGAATACGACGCTATGGGCGCAAAATGACCTTAGCAGTCGGCGCGCCCTAAGCCCCAATTAACAACTAAGGGCCTTTAGAGCTGCTGACGCGAACCCTATACAAGCCAGCAGGGGATCTCAATGACCGGCAAGGGGCCCTTAGGCCGGCAGAAGAAGTCCTGCGGGGTCCTTAGAGACCGGCATGGTACTGTCAGACGCCGGTGGGGCCCTTGTAGTTACCGGTGTGGGGCCCTCAAAAGTCACCAGTGAGTGGCCTTTAGATGCGCAAGTGTTGGTTGGGTCCTCAGAACCGCCGATATAGGGTTTTGATAGGCACTGGTGTAGGCACTCAGAGTTGGTGTGAAACCCTCAGGGACAGCGATGTGGGCCCTCATAGGCGCCGATGAGGGCCCCACAGTTACCGTTTTGGGGCCCTCAGAATAAGTGTGGGACCATCACAGGTGGGAAATACCCCTAGAGGTGGCCCCTCATAGGCCGGTAAGAACTCTCAAGAGGCCAGTAACGGACCTTTGGAGACCACCGAGGGGCCCTTAAAAGCCGCAAGAGGCCCTCAGAAGCCGGCGTGGGGCCCTTATGGAGATCTTAGTGTGGCTATTTCGGGCCCATGAGGTGCTCTAACGAGCCCCATGGGCCGGGGCCCTTCCGAGTCGAAATATGGTCACTCCAAGGCCTGGGTCACTCAGTGGTCAAAGCGCCGCAGGGCCCCTCGCATCCGAGGGTCCCTTTGAACCCGATGGAGGGGGGGGGGGGGTGTACGTGTCCCCTTAGACCCCTAGCTACGCCACTTTCATATGCATCATGTCAGGTATTATAGGCTCCCCCCCCCCCCCCCCACTTGAAAATCGTTCCCGGGCCGAGTTTGCATGTCTGTATATCTATGGTTTGCACTTTGCATGATCTCATTAGGCTAGGCATGCATTTGTCGCATTTGTCAAGACATCCATGATGAGTCCAGCAGTCCAGTGACGTCTTTTATGGTTTTGTTGGCATTTGGCTTGGCAGAATTTCAACGTGAATTTAAATAGCACATGCTAACAACTGGAATCAGCTGGCTGGCCAGCTGGCGACGTACGATAGCTATGTTATTATTTGATATAAAGACGGTAGGAGATGGAAACGAACACGTGAAATGGCATTCACAGAAAAATTAAAAATATATATTTAGTAATTTGCATATGGCATTGATATATACCATTATATACGTAGCTCTGCTAGCGCCACCAGACGGCGTCAGCTGGCGATTCGTCCAGAAAATAGTATGAGTACGGCCCACGAATTTGTGTTGAATTTGTGTCGACAGTGGCCCAAAGCCCGCTGGAGGAAATATTGTGGATAGTTACATTATTTACATCTTTGATTAACCGGCAATTCAAATTCTGTAATACCTAAGCTGAAGCGTGACCACGATGGTTCTCTGCGCGGTGGCTGGTTGCCGTGCGTACTATAACAGTAACAGCAAAACTCTCAAAACGGACAAAGCTAATTCATTATCATTTTTCCACCTGCCTCATGATCCTGAATTGAGAGCAGAGTGGATGGCAAGATGCCAAATTGAAGATGGGTACAATGTAAAAAATGCCAGAATTTGCTCGCTGCATTTCACAAAGGATGACTTTGACTCCTCATATCGAACCAAATGTGCTTTTGGTCTTAAGCCTCTGAGACCCAGGCTCCATGCTCTTGCCTTACCATCTTTGCGGCTGCCTACATCTGGATTGGATAGGTGAGATAACTTTTATTGGTAATGAAATGTTTTGGACTGTGTCCTGTGTGGTGCGATAGAATATCTTTTTCGTAGCTTTTATTTTGTCCTAAGTTTTTAAAAGATTTATTTAATTCAAATAAGTCAGTGAGCTTCTTAAGATTAAATTGTGAAATCATCCTTTTGCACCCTAGGCTCAAAATTAAATCAAACCACTCCCAATATCAGTTGGGCGCACTGGTTTCTCTGATTTATTTATGGAGATGTTCCTATGAATGGAAACATTTCCAATTTTGACAACTCATCTGTTCCAAAAATGGAAACGCTCGTTCCATAGATAGAAATGGCAACATCTTTGCACAATTTTTTGTCCAGGGTGACTGGATTTCATGTTATACCACTTTCACTGTAAACAAGCACGGATACACCAAATGCACTTGTCTTTGTGCACAGAAAGTTGTTGTATCCATTCAACATCACCACTTTGTGTTTTTTAAATTTATAATTGGCTAAACGTTTGATGTTTTGGAACTGGTATAACAGTAAGCTCTCAGTATTTATCTTGGACGTTGGGTTCATAGTCATACTGAAACATTTACCCGCGCCCCACTGGGGTCTGTGCGGGTCTGTGTATAACACACCTTACTGGGGGGCCCTCCCTACCAGTGCTGGAAATGAGGCCGCTTTCTGGTCCCGGCGTTTTATTCTCCGGGTGAGTTCGCCCCGTCTAGCGCTTAGCCTTTCGGGACCCTCTCAGAGCCGCGGTTGTTTTCGCCGCTCGGCCCATTCGAGATGCAAAGTTGATAGTCGCACGAAGTTTATTTGGGGCCTCTGAATATACGACTTCGAAATAAATTGATTCTACAAAACCTTTTACTTTCATCTATATGCATACATTTAACAGTAACTCCAGACTAGACTGGTTTGGCTGGCCCTAAATAAGCTTCGTGTGACTATTAACTTTGCATCTCGACTAGGGCGAGCGGCGAAAACAACCACGACCCTGAGTGGGTCCCGAAAGGCTAAACGCTGGACGGGATTAACCCGCGAGGAGAATAAAACGCCGGGACCAGAAAGCAGCCTCATTTCCAGCACTGCTCCCTACTCCGAAACTACTGGGCCGATCGTCAAAATTCAAACGGCATCTGATAGCCCCGGAAAAACTGTTGAGCTTAAAGGAAATAGTTCACTTTCACGAAATTATTTTTTTTTGCAATGGATTTGTGATTTTTTATGTTCAAAATGATCAGCAAAGAAAATAAAACCTTTTTACAGCAAAATATTATTTTCTATATTTTTGATATAGGAAGAACTTTTCAGTTTCTGTAAGGCACACGCGATCCAGTATGAAAAGAGCATGGGTCATGAAAATTCTTCAGAAACTAGAGAAATTATCGCGGCCACCGGCATTTGGGCGATCTGCTCGTGCTTTTGTTACTGGAGCGCCTCACTGGAGCGAATTTCTCTAGAGTTCTCGTAGATAATTTCTCTAGTTTCTGAAGAATTTTCGGTACCCATGCTCGTTTCATACTGGATGCGAATATATGCAAGGCACACATCCTCAACGCAAGACACATTTTTCGGGGCGAGAAATAGAATATCTTTGCCTAGGGTGATCGTTGGGCTGTAAAAGCTCCTGATTTATGCTCGTCTCAGCCCAAGCTACGGAACTGCTATTCCAGTTCAAAACCCATGTTAAAATGTGAACTATTTCCTTTAACTTAATTTCATTGACCTCGATGTCACCGATGACGTCACAGGTCAGGTCAAAGTAAAAATGATCAATGCTTGGCTTGCTCACATTTTGGGTTCTGGCTGCCGTCTTAAAAGGCAGATCAGGCTGATTTTTTGTTTACACACTCGTAAACAGATGCTTTATGTACCCTGAGGGTACCAAACTTGTACTTTGATTTTCAGGTCAGGGTCAGGTCATCATAGGTCACGGAAATCTTATGTCATAAGTCGGTCACGTCACACATGCTTTATGGTCCATTTAGGCCATATTTTTCGAATTCGGTGCTGCCTGTGTCATTTGAGGCCATTTTCATCTGAATATAGCTGAGTTCAGGTCACTCTCAGGTTAAAAAGGTCAAATTTCAAAGTTAAATTTTTTAACAAAAACATGTCTATTTGATGCAGTTTGAGCTCAGGAGCACGATGGTGCTATTTATATTGGTGTACGATGTCAAATTCGAACAGAAAAATTTATTTGAAAAATATAAATTTGTGAAATTTTTGCTGTAATGCGTATAACTAATAACTTGGCCATTTTAGAAGATATCTGGCTAAAACTTGATAGAGTAAGTCATAAGCATGTGTTCTCTAGAACACATGAACTTCGTAAATAACTCTATAGAACTCTATAGAACTTCGTAAATATGGCGGGCCGAGCTTAAATTTTGTGATATTCGTAATGCGGAGCATCTAGTGTGTCCGTACACAAATTTTGACGGAAATCGTAGGGGCTCTCCCGAATGACATTGAAATTGAAACATCCGTAACTTTGTGAATATGGCGGGCCGAGCTTAGATTTTGGGTGCATCGTAATCAGGACGTTACGTACTATCCACTGACTAAGTTTGGTCCAAATCGTAGGGGCTCGCCTGATTCCGAATCTTAGATTATAGATTAGGATTCACTTACATCTAACTTGACGACCGTCACCTCGTTCGTCAACTTTCGGTTTTCTGATCGGAAAGTCGGAGAACAGGAACATAAACTAGAATGCTGGCTGTCGATTGGTGGCATCCTGCGCATGCCAAATTGCACCAATCAATGCCCAGTATGCTTCAAAAGCAGCAATGCACGCAGCGTCGCCATTTATGGAACAGGCCGTTTCTATTTTTGGAAACGGCATTTCCATTGTTCCAAAAATGGAAACGTTTCCATAAATGGGTCGGACATACCACAGTGTGCCCGTCTGATATATCAACCCAGAAAGTTATTATCAGGCCCTCGGCAGCCTGAAGTCAGATACACAACCACTTAACCTTAAAATATTTGATTTATTGTCTGTAATCTCTCCTGAGACATTGCCTGCGGCACTGTACTGCTTCTAGGTTGTGTGGAGTGTTTTAGGTACCTAACAGTTTGCGGTAACAGTAAATATTTCAGAGGTGCTTTGGTAGTTCCAGAATGGATAATTATCATATGTGAAATCAGGACCAGGGGATCAAAATACATCATAGGTATAGTGTGCTGTTCATAATCGGTTTGGCATTCTGACCTAACTAATACAAAAAAGTGAACCAGGTTCATCAAATGTCAATGACCTGGCATGACCTTCATGTGACCGTGACACCCACCATAATGCATGTGACCAACATCATTTCACATGTTTGAACTCTTAAGACCACAAAAAGACTGCAAATGTGCGGACAATGTGAGAGGACATACGCTGAATCGCGATTCTGGCCAAACATGGTCTCAAGAAATAGGTCACAGGCAATGCTGGAATTGTGAATTTTGGTCGTGGTCCCGGAGAATAAAATCTGTCCGGAGAACCGGCCAGCTTTTAGAACACTCAACAGGAAAATCAAATGTTTTGCCTCCTAAATGTGACAGTTGATAAAACGTGTTTTCTCAATGCTATAACTGCATGTTTTAGGCGTAATAATATCAGTTTTTCATCACAGGCTGGAAATTAAAGAGAGTTCAGGTGCCGGAGTATAAAGTTGTGAAGGAGAACAAAATTGTTTGGACCCGGCTGGGACCAGCAAAGGGCATTATTTTCAACATTTGTCACAGGTCAAAGGTCATCTGGGTCAGGGTCATGACATTTTCAGGGTATGCGTGAAATTGATTTCTTAAATCGAGATTCGAGGGTACTCGAAGTTTCTTCGCGTTCTCCCGCTTTTAGCGCGAGTTATTCGCGAAAAACTGAGGGAAGGGGTCCGTTCGACTCCCCTCCCCCGAGAGGAGTGAGGGTTAAAGGGGGCAAAAGGAGGATCAACGATTTAATGGGTTCTTATTTTAGTTGCTACCTTCCTGAGGCTAGGGTTAAAATTGTCTTAAGCACATTGGACATATCATTCGTCTACCTCCTGTGTGATGACTGATGAGTCACCCTGTTTTTTTTGGGGGGGGGGGGCAAAGTCTTTTCTTTTATCTGCTCAGTCAAATTCCAATTGGTGTAGGCCTCTCATTGGCAACTGCACAATTAGAGAAACCGAAAAGTGCCAGCAAACTGGCAACTTCTTAGATCTGCTGAGCAGATAAATCAGGATTTTTAATGGCCAACATACAAGGTCACATGACCTGGACTTGAACTGCAGCATAAAAATCACTTCAGTATGGTTGGAAAGTGATTCAAATAATTGGATCCCTCACCAGTGTGTGGGGCTTCTTGTTTTGAGAGTGAATGATGTGTGGGGCTTTTTGTTTTGAGAGTGAATGAACATCCATAATTGAAAATGTACCTAAAATAATTACATGGTTGGCAGATCATAAATGTTTGTATTGCATGATAAAATGAATAAATACCAAGTCAATGGACGAAAGCAGTCTGTCAATACTGTAGCTTTCTAACTTAATTTTAATGACAGATATTCACATACTTTCAACACAGCTCTTGTACTATTATAACTGCATGCTTGCTGTTAGATATTTTGTCGTTTAGCGATTTTCTGTGTACCTTGTCCGGTGACGATTACAACTTGTGGCTATTTCAGTCTGCTGGAGGAGTATGCCGGCGATGAGGAGGAGGAGTGGGAAGCGCTGCACCCTTTGCGGGAGCAATCGCCGCCGCTGGACCCCGAGGATCGCGCCGCCATCATCGAGGAGGCCATGGCAGAGCAGCTGCGCCGCGAGCAATGGCAGCGCGACCAGAAGTTGGACATGCTCGCTTCTGTGGGAAAACCACGCAAAAGGGCTCCCACTACGAGCGTGGCCGCCAAGCGGCGTAAGGCAGCATCCAATGTTTCGCTATCCAGAGGGGTAGAAGGCACAATCACCAGCATGAAGTCCGAGGTATACAATCTGCCGAATGGCGGTCCCATCATTCGCAAGGTGACGTTCATGAAGCCCGAGGTAGAGCAGCGAGACGAAGGCGAGGACCTGGACGACCTGGGCCGGCAGCTAAAGGAGATCCGCAGGATGCAGCGACAGACGGGCGTGCTGGAGCAGAAGCTGGCCACCAAGCAGCGGCAGCTGCAGGAGCTGCTGTTGCAGCAGGCGGCCGCGCAGTCCACGCTGACGTCGCTCACAGGCCGGCAGTCGGGCCGGCGCCGGCGGGAAGACGTGGAGGCGGAGCAGGCGCTGCAAAACGCCGCCATGTTCCCGGCCGGCCACCCGCTCATGGTGCTCCGCTCCGAGGAAGAGCCCGTCGAGCTCGCGCTGGCCAACGATATGCTCTCCGTGCCGGCCGACATGCTCGAGGCCAAGCGGATGATCTTCAGTCTTCGCCAGGAGGTACTGGCACTCCGTAACTCGTCGTTGAAACACGCGCACACCGCCACCACGCAGCGCATCGACGCTATCGGGAGGGATGTGAAGCGTGACATACGCCAGGCGGCCATCATCGAGCGAATGCGAGACGCTCTCAATGCGGTATTCACTCGAGCTCAGCAGTCTCGTCTGCTTAAAAGCAAGAGGCTGCTGCCCTGGGAGGCTGAAGACTACATGCGCGCCATCGCACTGCGGCGCCTCTGCCGCCGGCGCACGTTCGAGTTTGTGCGCAACACGATGAACATCCCGCTGCCGTCGATGTTTGCGCTGCGCAGCGCGGCGGCGTTCGGACGATTCCCCGAGGTGTCGCGCGGCTTCAAGGAGCTGCGCGAGCAGAAGAGGCTGCGCTTCATAAAGGGTCCGGGCCCGTGGTCGCGGCCGCGGCCGCAGCCGGCGGCAGTGGTGGCCGAGCTGGAACCGCTGGAGACAGAGGTGATTGCCGCCGGAGAGATGGCCGGCCAGCTGACCCTGGATCACATGGATGCGGCCGAGCAGCATTCGCCCGTCCGCCGCGGTCAGGCGCACAGCATCACCAAGCAGAAGTGGAGGTCCTACGAGGTGGATGATGACGAGGACGAAGAGGAGGATGTGGTAGAGGAGGTGGAGGTGTTCGAGGCCGAAACGCCCAGCCCGGCCAAACAGTGCTGGAACGCGGTCGATCTCACCGAGCTCATCGAGTTCGAGCACGAAGACCAGAGTTCGAGCATCGACGATGGCTGGTCTCAGCACGTGGAGCCTCCCTTGGCGGTGGTGGGCAGGCCGCGCGGTCGCGGCCGCGGACGGGGCCGCGGCGTCGGTCGGCCGAGGGGGCGGCGGGGCGCGTCCGTGAGTGGCGGCAGGCAGGCGCCCGTCCATTCCACCAGCCTTGTGTTTGCCGATGAACTGTAGGCCCAGCAGCTGCAGGAACATAAGGTACAAAGCTGGGCCACTCCAGCACAGTGTGGCTGGGCGTCGCATTCACTTCGTACGACCGAAGTCTCGCACAGTGAGTGCCGAGCGATGGACAGACAAACCCGCTGTGGAGACTGCCCAGGGTCCCGCAGGCTGAGCGCGGCACAGACTAACTCACGCTGAGATGATCGCTGTCTCGAGCGGCTCCGTACGCCCCGCGCTCACGGACAGCGCCTGTGCCGCCAGGGACGCTTTTAACACCATCCATGGTTTCACGTATCCTCACAGTGGCGGACGGTGTTACATTGTAAGATAGGATGATTTGAAGCATTCGTGTCACCATTCACCCACCATGTTTTCGTTTTTATTTAGTGCTCCTTGTAGCACAGGGATCATGGCTGTCTTCAGCCTTGTGTTGAGCACCGATTTCCCGGTTAAAGGCGGAAACAGACTTTCCGCAGTCAGAAGATAACACGAGGGAGCCTTTTAAATGACTCAACTAACGCTCACATCAACCGTACGCATGGAGGCGGGATCAATCAATCAATCCTACGCACCTCCATCCTTGCGATTGATGCGAGTGTGGTTTATGCTATTCAATAGGCTCTCGAATGTTATCTTATGGCTGCGTAAAAAGTCTGGCATAGTGTATGATTTTGTTCACTTGCATACCGATGCTGTTTCGTTGGGTTTTGTGTATATACGCGCGATTCATGTGTGTGCGTGTGTGTGTATGTGTTTGTGAGCCGTGCATAGCGCGTGGAGACTAGGGCGTGGAGGAAATGCGGACACACGCTTGCGTACTAGGCTCATTGGATGAAAGTGTTTTCTGCACTTTGTCATACTATTAGCTCATCGAAGATGTGGAATGACAAGGGCGAGTTAGCTTTGAGGGTTCTAAATATTTTTGTTGCACTAGCTGCTTAATTTCCGTGGGCTGTATAAAGTAAATAAAAGTTGACGCGCATTATTATGTCTTGGGTCCTGATGACCTAGGCTGTCCTGCCCCCCCCCCCCCGTCGTAAGATAACAGTGGGTTAGTGCAGAACGGGTGGGCAGCATCTCGGGACGGTGCAGCGACCGGGCCATCGTTTCCATGTTCTGACAGGTAACAGTACTGTGACATGTGACGTGTTCAGACCCTGTCCTGACGCCGGACGCTGTCTCGCTCCGACATGTGCTGGCTCGGACGACAAAATCATCTCAGCTGTGATTAGTGGGACTACGTGACGTCACGATTTTTTTGTTTCGGTAATAACGTCAAAGTCTATATAAGCATCCAAGTGTTGCAATATTTCTGCTAAATTTGTTCCTTCAAAGAAGCTATGACCTCATCCATGGCCAGTGTATCTTTTTCCTAAGTCCATGGCTTGAACTGGCATGGTGGTGCCCTCTTGAAAGCCAGATGGCGCTCAAAGCGATGCCATTGGACGTCAACGAGGCATGTAGAGCTGCTGCCTCACTCCTCATTGAAGATCGATTGAAGTTTCGAACAGCCGATTGGGCCGGCTCTGAAAGCAACATGTTCCTCCGGAATGACCGTGCTCACAGCTGTCCCACAAGACCTGCCTGCCTTACGCGGGACAGACAGCAGGGGTGCACTCAGCCTCAGCGGCGCACCATAGAGTGTACCTACTCCAATCAGCCCAATGTCTCCATTGTCCTCCTGGCCTGCGGCCCTGAACTGGTCTGTAAATAGAACGAATGAGTCTAAATCAACAAACGAAATGAGTGGGACGCTCCAGATTAGTGAGTTTTTTTTTCCACTTGTTAGGTAGTAAAAAAGACTGCAAATCGCGCTGGGACCGGCGCGATTCGATGTGCTTGTCGAGGAACTTTTCGAACCACTGTTAAAGGGTTTTTTCGTCTTGCCAGTGTGCAGTGTGAGCGAGCACCCAGGCAAATTATGCATTATCTACAGCAGGGAGGATCTACCAAAACCAGGGAGGTCACTCCTAATCCGGCAAGGGGCTATAAGAGGCAGTGTTAGCTTTGAAAGTGCGCAATGTACGTTGCACATGTATAGCAGCCCTTGATAAGCTAAACATATGGAGCGTAGAGTAGGTGGATTTGGTCGGTGGACAATCGCAGAAAAGGCACCAGCTCGTGAACTCCTCTCCGCGTATCCTAACTGCGCAGTGTGGCGGGAGCCCACGGGCCCGGGTCGGCCGCTGCTGCGCTGTTCTCCCGTGCGGCCCCGAACTCTCCCTCTCGTCCTCGAATAATCAGCTCGCCGATCAGCCCTGGAGGACCGGCCGCGCCACCGCGCCCGCGGCCGCGCCTTCGTCTCCACCAATAGGGGAGCGGCCGGCCGAGAGGCGACCAATCAGCGGCAGCCGTCTGGGGCCGGCCGGGCGACAGTCAGACGGACCATCTCCCCACTGGACACTGCGGAACGCACCTGAGCTCGGCCGTGGGCAGTGCACCTATACGCGACCTTCATCGGGACATCATGGTGAGTCACTGCCTGAGGGATTGACCTGGGGGTCTCAGGCCGGCGTCAACAGCGTGGGTTGGGTCAAATGGGCCGAACCATCGAACATTTTCAAACGGTTCTCAATGTTTTGCCGTGTTGTCTGCAGCGTTGCAGACGAGTAACTTTGTGAAATGAAGAGGTAATTATCATTTATCAGCATTTACATGATCTTGTATTTCATCTGGTCTCGAGCAGCTCCTGATAGGAATGGCGAAATAAAATGAAACGACATCCCATAGACAAGAGCCCGGAAACTTGAGGTCATACGGAAGTTGGAAAAGGACAGGCTCGAATGCACAGTTTTCGATATACTGTGGAATGCACGTTTTACGCCTCGCGTTTTACAACCCGCCAATGCATCGTTACGTTTATGTTACCGAATGTCTGTATGAGTGCGACCCTGTAAACCCGAGTCAGTTTCGGTCAGCCCAGTAGGTATAACCTCCGGCACACTGAGGCTCGTCGAGGACAGCGTTGCTCGTTGACTGGTCCAGCTGAATGGTTTCACAGCGCACACCTTCTGTTTCAGACGAGTTACGAGGACAAGGGCGAGAAGCCGGCCGGCGGCAAGTTTGTCCACTTTGACCACGTCACCTTCTGGGTGGGCAATGCTAAACAGGTGAGCACGGCTGACCAGCAACCCTCCCCTCCCACACAGCCCCATTGGACATCACCGTCTCCGCCGCGGCTGAACCGAAAACTAGAAGAAAAGATGTGATCGTGAGATCGGTATTCACATCATGATGACCCCAGAAATAATTCCACTGGCGCTTCCCGCAGCCTGACAAATGGCATAAGATGACCGTTGTCTTGCTGCTGCCGTGATCGGAATGCTCCTTGCACTTGAGTGCGGTGCTCTGGCTGCCAGACGCTGGCAGAGTGCCAAATGCGCCCTCCCAACGACCCTGCTGCCGAGCCCGGTCACGTGCGGCCGCGGCCGCGGCCGACCCGTCGCGTCTGACGGCCGACCGACCGGCGCCGGCGCAGCGTTCGGAATTCTGCCATCACCAGCAGCCGGGGGCGGCGGCGCCTCCTGCCCCGCTCGCTGCCCTGCCCTCTGCGGGTCGCCGCGCGAGGATCCCCGCTGATGGCAATCTTGCTGTACAGCTGTATGTCGTCTGGACACCGCTGGTGGACCCTTGTCACTCTGATGAGCGCAGTAAAAGCGGGCGCCGCTGCTGGAAAGGCGCTGTGCCATGAGGGCGACATTGGACCTACCTGTGACGACAGGAATGTCGTGGTGCTCGGAGCTTGCCGAAGTTAATCAGCAACCTCACTGTGCTCGTCTCTCTTGCTGCTAGTTCATCGGCCCAAGTTTCACGCCTTGCTGAAGTCGCTAGTCAAAAGCACCCCTCTCCGATTCTGCAAATGTATATATTACCCTCTTACTCCTTAGTTGCGACATACCTAATTTTTCGCACGCTAAACAGGACTTCTTTGAAGGTGGGATAGTCCCTTTACCCCGGCTTGGGTCTTAGTCGTTCCCATTACTCATGATGCTATTACTGATCCTGCTTATGGCATGGGCAAGACCGATAGGCACAGCCAACACCGATGAACCAATGACAGAAATAAATAAAAACGACGAATGTGCTTGGTTTTAGTAGGTAGCAGGTTTACTGCGTAGTGCCTCCTTACCTCACCCTTTCCGACTTTAGTCAGTGCTCTAATCGTTACAGTTTTTATAAATCTGCATCACTGTAGCCATACCGTTGTATTGATCTTTGCACCGTTGTTGTTACGCCTTTATGCATAACAATGCTGTGTGCGCGCGGACAGGCGGCTTCCTACTACTGCACCCACCTGGGGTTCGCGCCGCACGCGTACGCCGGCCTGGAGACGGGCAGTCGCGACGTGGCCGCCCACTGCGTGCGCCAGAACGACATCTACTTCGTGTTCAAGAGCGCGCTGAAGCCGGGCAACAAGGAAATGGGCGACCACCTGGTGCGACACGGAGACGGCGTCAAAGACGTAGCGTTTACCGTGGAGGACCTGGACGTCATCGTCGAGGTAGGTCCGGTAACCGCTGAGCCGAGGTAGGTTGTCGCCATCGTTGTCCTAAGTGCGCATGTCGGTCGTGCGGTACTTCTCTCTATATGAAAAATACGTCATATATTATGCGCTATGTTCATATATATTAGTGGTGTCAATCGGAACTTGAATCTTCGGAATTCCGATTTTGTCCAATGTCCAGTTCGGAATTCGGTTGGACAATGACAGCAAGCTTTGGACAACTTTGGACAATCGCTTGCTACACCTCACCTCAATCGTGTTTAACATTGATTGGCTATTAGAAAGCTCAGCTTTCGAAATAATAACACTTTTGAGCTGGTAACGATACATTAAAAGCAAATTAGATAACGGTGTTGAGTGTAAGCTATTCCGTAGATGTCGGACATATTTGGACAAATGGCTGGCTTGGACATTTTTGGACGAACAGTCGACGTAAGTACCTATTGGACATTGGACGGACATCGGACATACGTTTTTTGAAATTGACACCACTTATATATATATAGACGTGATTCCGTTCGAATGAGCTGACGCTTGCGCTGTGTTATCACTGTCTTGTCAAATTTTTATGACTGGTTTTTGATTAGCAACGGCCTGACCGTTTAGGCGGCCCCTAGCTTCCATAAGCCCTAGCCTAGCCCTAGCTTCCATTATAGAGTCCGGTTGTCTCCTTGATGAGCCGTTAGTGAGCCCGACCGTGCCCTCGGGAGACGGTTCACGGCCCTGCAGAGCGGGCGGCCGGTGACGCGTCCATTACCCCTGCCCTCAGCACGCCAAGAAGCGCGGCGCCACCATTGTCAAGGACATCTGGGAGGAGAGTGACGCTAGCGGCTCGGTGCGATTCGCCGTGGTGCAGACGGTACGTCGGCCCTGCCGCCTTTGTATCGCGGCTGTATCGCGGGCTTATCGCGCAGCAATCGTCCTGTCATGCAAATGTAGACCCCCCTGACGACAGTGTAGAGCGAGGGCTGTTACCTGACAGGTGGATGTCATTCAGGAGGAGATGCAGAGTTTCAGAGCAGCCATGGATCTCTTAATGGTTTATCACTGGCTCCTCTTTCCTCCATTTGTCACTTTTCGTAGATGTTGACCTATTGGGTATCCTCTTCTTGCATCCGCACATAATCGACTCATTTTCCAATTTTAACGGCATTTGATAGCTAGGTAACTTTGTCCAAGGAACTCTATTTTAACGCTTTTTTCGACATTCCGTCACGGGAAAAGTTTTCATTTATTGAAGTATATCAACCAATGGCGAGATTCTGGTCAAGGCAAGAAAGGTCGGATTTCAAAACCTACTTGATTTTGATTTGCGTGTCATCGAGTGACCATCGGGAATCGCCATTCGCCCCGCTTGACCGGTCCATAACGCGTCTGTTGTGGTACGGTCGGCTACTGACGCTCCCGTCTCACCCGTCCGATAGTACGGCGACACGACGCACACGCTGGTGGAGCGCGGCTCGTACTCGGGCCTCTTCCTGCCCGGCTACCAGAAGCCGCTGGCAGCCGAGAGCAAGCTGCTGGCCACGCTGCCGCCGGTGGGGCTGCGCTTCGTCGACCACGTGGTGGGCAACCAGCCCGACCTGCAGATGACCAACGTGGCCGACTGGTACGAGAAGTCGCTGGCCTTCCACCGGTTCTGGTCTATCGACGACAAGCAGTTGCACACCGAGTTCTCGGCACTGCGCTCCATCGTCGTCACCAACTGGGACGAGACTATCAAGGTGCGGCCGGCGGCGGGACGTGGGGAGTGGGGGACCTTTGTCCAGCGTGTAACCGGTACCTGACGGCTGACGGTGATCAAGCCGGATGCTAAAATGTCTTTCAACATGCTTTCATTAATCGTTTATTGTAATCAAAATGATCTTGACTATATGGATAAGTCATAAGTAGGTATATTTGGTTCAAGGTATGCCAGTTGGCAGTTTTCACCACTTACCCATAAGCCCTTACACATTAAGGTCATTCCACAACGTGCCCGTGTTTTGAAAGTCGATGCCCTCTCTCAGATGCCCATCAACGAGCCAGCTCCCGGCAAGAGGAAGTCTCAGATTCAGGAGTACGTGGACTATTACGGCGGTGCGGGTGTGCAGCACATCGCTCTCAACACGACCGACATCATCGGCTCGGTGAGTACCGCGCAGTAATAGCTGGCAGTAGCACCTGCAGTAGCACCTGCAGTAGCACCGACAGTAGCACCAACAGTAGCACTGACAACAGCGGCGGGAGTGGCACGAGCACTAACATCGGCAGCAGCTGACCGGGCAGTAACACTGGCAGTAACACAACACCTACAGTGACACCGACAGCCTACAGTGACACCGGCAGTAGCACTGACAACAGCCAACAGGGACAGGAGTAGCACGAGTAGTAGAACAATCGCCACCATCCGCAGCAGTACCGGGTGTATCACCTGGGGCAGTAGAGCAGGATGATGGCTGGAGTAATCGAAGTGAGTGGTATTCCAAATCGCGTAATGGTCGAACTCGTCACTGATGTTTTGTTTGTCCGTTGACTGGAAAACATATGCGTCTCTCTGTGACTGCCTGCTGACTACGAGTACCTGTAGAATGACTAAGATCCCTGCCAGTCTGTGTGTGCGACTACGACTTCTTGCACTTGCTGACATCTGTACCCATGCCGTGTTTGTTGACTCAGATCCGAGCGATGAAGGCGCGCGGCCAGGAGTTCCTCACCATCCCCGACACTTACTACGAGGAGCTGCGAGAACAGCTCAAACACTCCAAGGTCAAGGTGGAAGAGGACCTGGACGTTCTGCAGGTAAGCAATGCCACATTTCTCACCCTCTGGCGGCCGAGGCAGTCGTGCCCGTACAGTGATCGCCCTCGGTACCGCCAATGATCGGCAGGTGGCACCACCGTAGAAGGCTTACGCTGGAGAGTGCATTGAAGTGTCCTTTGGTCGGCTCAGAAACGCCTTGCTGGAACCAATCTGCAATCCGGCCTCCGCGGGCTCCGATAGGCTCGAGAGAGAACCAGACCTTCTGCAGGTTGGTTGACAGGCTGAGCGTGCTGACATGTTCGTTGCAAGAGCGCCATAAATGTTGTTCTGTCAATTGCAGGAGCTGAACATCCTGATCGACTACGACGACGACGGCTACCTGCTGCAGATCTTCACCAAGATCATGCAGGACCGACCGACGCTGTTCATCGAGGCCATTCAGCGAAACAATCACCAGGTGAGGCGAACCGGGATCAGACACCGACGAAGAGCACAAAGCGATCCAACACAGATGTATTGGCCTTGATAAAGTATACGAATTTCGTTTCTTGAAAATGTTTGATTGACTGACTCCCGGCTCTGAACATTCACATTCGCTGCTTCCCAATCAGTATGTCAGCAAGTGGAAGCTTGTGTGATTGATGATGCAGGCCGCACACAGTGCGTGTAGCTAGCTTAGCTCCATCCCGGCCAGGGCTTCGACTGACGTCCCACTCCTTCCACCCTGCAGGGTTTCGGAGCCGGTAACTTCAAGGCGCTGTTCGTCGCCATCGAAATTGACCAGGCGAGACGGGGCAATCTGTGAGCGGCGTCTGGACCGGACCAGACCAGCATCTGAACAGAACCGAACCAAAACGGCCCCTGAACAGGACCAGACTGGAGTTTGACCGGACCTACGTGGGAGGCTCCGCAGTTCTGTGAAAGCGTCCGACAGAGACAGACAGACCAGGTCTCGTACACAGCAGTGCCAGTCCGCTCCGCTCCGCCGCGACTAACCTCGGTGCCAGGGTACTAGGTAGCGCCTCAGACTCCGTCCAACATTGACCAGTGTGTAGACCGGCGCGCAGTACGCGACTGGATAATGGTGCCGTCTCAGATGTGAAGTGTATGCCGGCGCCTTGCTAAGCATAATTGCTTTCTTTCCGAAGGCCGGTGTGCAATATTGTGGTTACTGGGCAATATTTGGGGAATACATGTATTAACTGCGGCCGACTATCCCTTGATTCGATGTCCAAGCGTGGCACCACTCCGGCGTCAGCTTAGCGGACGGTTTCCCAGCTCCCCAGGCTGTTGAAGTTATTGGGCGCGGTGCAAAGGTTACGACTGAACGAGTTACAATCCGTTCAGTCTTCCGTCTCAACCTCACACCGACGATTTAGGGCGCTGGACCTAGCCAGGGCCCTGATATAAAACACGGGAGGCTGACTAGCAGTTTATTGAAATAGTTACAATAAGTTAATACAAGGTGGACGATAAACGCTCGGACCAAGGTCGACTGGTTACAATCGCGGTCAACCCGGAATCAGTGGCAACTATGGCAAGCTGGAGTAGAAAAACTGCAGTACAAACAAAACACAACACTATTTATTTGCGTTTTTACTTATTTATAAAACATAAAAACGTCTGACAACAAAATAACCATAAAAACTCCCCAAATGGGTAAATGAAGAGGGTCGACACCCGGCGGCCGGGCGGTCGGTCGGCTCCCCGGTCCCAGACACAACTATAAAATTAGAAAATGCCTTAAAAACGACTTGTCAACGAGGCTGCGGCGGGGGCGACCCGTCACACAACTCACACACGGGTGGGAGCTGAGGGATACGGCAGCCGCTACATCGGATTTCAAGACAAAATGGCAAACGGTGCGCGGCGGCCGGTGGACACGGACTGGGACCACAATCAAATACACTGAATTTAGTACAAACCACCCAAAATACATTTCTACATCACACAAATTTCAGTCGCCGACGTGCGCAACCGAGCGGAGGTGGGGACAGGGCGCGGAGGCAGTTACACGGGCCCGGACCCCGGCGGCGGCGGCGCGCGGCCCGCCCGGTTATGGAGCTGAGCCCTGGGGACCGGCGCGTGTGAAAGCTCGGCGCGGGGCGGGGCGGTCGGCCGGCGCCCCGTTTTGACATGGTGACCCGCATCTGGTGTATGTGGTTCCGGGCAGACGGCCGCCTGGCTCACTATCACAACACGGACTGACAGGGAGGACGGCGGGGGCCGGCGCAGCGGCGCGCCCCGCCGCCCAAACACTCGCAGCGAAACACCACACGCAAAAATAAATATTAACGAAAAGCAGTCAATCTAAACACGCAACACGCTGAATAGCTAGCCTATTATTCGCCGTAAATAAGTGAATAACATACTGAAAATAAAAATGTATGAACTAGAAAATTAATTGCATAAATTAGCGTCAATCACATTAGGGGATAAATACGACTATCACATGTAATTCAACCTACCCCGTAGCGAAGCTACCGGGCTCAAAACTCCCGAAAATGCCTAGTGTGTCGAGAACGCTAGAACGCAGCCGGCGCAGTCGGAAGCAGCGCTGCACTCGGGGGCGTCTGACAGGGCGGGCGGCCAAAAAGGTGTGCAGGGCCGCAGCAGCGTGCGGCTCGAGCAAAACTACAACTATGTACAGGTAATCAGAGCATACGGTGCGGGAGGCCGCACCATCACGATCTCACAGCACTGCGCCAAATGTGTGCAGCGGCTGTACGAACAGTTAATATTGCGGGAGGTACAAAAAGGCAGCCCAAAAAATAAGGAGGAACTATACGATTTTTACAAGAACCATCATATAAATACCGATTATTTGTACATAATCTATATACAATTGCAACGCCAACAATACAAAAATGCGAAAGTAAAAAATGTATCCAAACGGCTCTCAACTGGAATTCAAGAGAGGCCCGACAATTAATTACAAGGTGACTATAATCTACTGATATTTACACACATGTATCCATGGTAAAAGTTGAGGTTATGGCCGCCCGCCCGCGCGTCCCACCGACTGTACGCGATTAACGCCTAGTCTATGGCACTAACAGAGGGGCCACTCGGCTGTGCGGGGTGCCGCTAGAGGGTACTGTGTGGGACGCCAGCATTAGCCAGACTACCAGCAGCTACCTACACACAGAATCAACGCCGGCAGATGTAGCCCGGCGTGATCGGACTGCGGTCTGACGTCATTAGAATGTGGAACTGACGCCATCGAACAATGGATTAACGTCTTAAAGTGTCATGAACCGACGCCACTGAACTGTGGATTAACGTCATCAGGCTGTGGACAGACACCGGTAGACGCTGATAGAATGTGGACAGACGTCACAGACTGTGTGGACTCTGTGGACTGACTCAGTGTGGACTGACGCCGACACAACTACGGGTCGTCGTCTGTCGGCCGCCGACTGACTGTGATTGCAGCTGGGTTGACTAGTCGTGGCGTGGCAGCGGCGCGATCCCCTAGCACCAGCGGTAGGGGACGGCGCGCGGCCGGTCGGCCCCCTCCTTCACCAGCGGTTTGTGGAACTCGCGGCCCGGACGGGAGTGGATTGTCGCCCAGCAGTGCTCGCAGTAGTACTGAAACAGACAGACACAGACTGGCGTTAGTGGCGTCTCTCGTATAGCTGGTGCGGGCAGACCAGTGTCACCAGAAGGCATTCGGGCTGCTCCAGGGATCAAACCATCAACCCATCCACACGCAAAGTTGCGAGGTGACAAGCGATAACAGCGATCACCAGCGCCGTGAACACTCGGGCAATTACCACATTATATTATTCCACACCCACAGCCAACTTTCATTGGCCACGGACACAGACGGCGCACAGAGTACAGCGCACCGAGAGACACCGGTACGCCAGGCTCACCTGCAGACAGGTGACATTGGCGCAGAAGAAGGGCGCGAACTTGCCACTGCAGCGGACGCCCTGGCACTCGTCGCACATCTGGTCATCGAGCACGTACGGCTTCACCTCCACCTGAGGAGACAAGCCGGATGGTCAGAATGGTGTGGAGGTCAGTAGACAGATGGGAGCTCAGACTAGTTGTGGGTCAGACTAGACTGAGCAGGTAAGAGCGGTGGGTACTGGGCAGATTAGGCTGGAAGCAGGTCCGGCTGACGGGTAGGGCAGAATGGGGCGTGTCAGACTGGTATGAACAGTTGTCTGAGCCTTGGGCCATGTCAGACGTCTGGGACGCCGGACGGGTCAGACTGGCGAAGACGTCTCCTATTGGCGGAAACCGCCAGACTGGTGAAGTCCGACTGAAGCTGAAATGCCAGACTGGCGGTGATGACAGAACAGTCACAGCGGCAGGAGCCACACACGGCGGTAACTGAGTACCCAGTCCGTCCCAGCAGCCCTCCTGCCCGCCCGGCAGCGCCCAACTGACCCGTTTGTCGATGTCGCCGTGCTGCAGCTGCACGAAGCGCGCGCTGATAGCGGCGATGTAGCTCTGCTGGTTACTGAAGGCCACGCGGCCGGCGCCCTTCGGGTACTTGAGCTCCGGGTCCGTGTCAATGCCAGCGTAACACACGCCGCCGTACAGACGGTCCATGATCATCGCCAGCTCCACTGAGGGAGGACAGAGGTCAGGTCAGGTCGGGTCAGGTCACACGCCGCCGTACAGGCGGTCCATGATCATCGCCAGCTCCACTGGGGAGAGAAGGTCAGGTCAGGTCACACGCCGCCGTACAGACGGTCCATGATCATCGCCAGCTCCACTGGAGGAGAGAAGGTCAGGTCAGGTCAGGTCACACGCCGCCGTACAGGCGGTCCATGATCATCGCCAGCTCCACTGCGGGAGAGGTCAGGTCAGGTCAGGTCAGGTCAGGCCACACGCCGTCGTACAGACGGTCCATGATCATCGCCAGCTCCACTGGGGGAGAGAAGGTCAGGCTATTAGCCTACATTGGCTACTACATTGGCTATTAGCCTAAACTACACTCGCTACTGACAACTTGCGAGGCCAGGCAGTTGTAAAAAGGTAACCGAGTAGCCGAAAGAAAATACATTAGGGGGCTCGCAGTTTGTTGAATCCACACAAGATTTTACCACAACTTTTTAACGAGCGGCTCTCAGTTCACGCAAAAATACAAAACTACTCGTACAACATATTCAGGCCTGCTACAAAGACCCTGGGGCAACAATTCACAGCGCCGGAAATTACAAACGGCGACTTCTGAGATAAACACAAGTCGCTACCAGCACCGCAATCCAGACTTTCCTAAAATTGGGAAGTTCCAAAGTTCAGGACTCCCTAAAGACATAAAATGCAGGTCGTTTGTTAAAAACCGATAGAAACGGCTGAAATTGTGGCCACATGCAGGTGGAGGCAATCGAAACCATCGAAACAGCAAACGAATAATTTAATCAGGCTCGACTACAATTTGGTTAACAAGTAACATTTGAGAATTTTAAGAGAGTAGGTGAAGGATATTAACACAAACATAAAACATCGATTAAATATGAACCGCGTGCCTATAGTGGAATGGCCACATTATTATCACAATATACTAAACAGAAATGAAGGATACATAGTTGACACTGCAAGGCAGGTTTTACAGATATGATGCCATGCAATAGATCGACTTGTTTCTACTAGTGATGGCCGATGATCAGTTCCAGCGTTCAGTTTCACAGGTCAACAGTCGTCCATTGTCCACATACCGGCCTTCAGGGGGCGGGGCACGCCACCGACGAACACCGTCTTGCGGGGGTCGAGCGGCAGCGAGGCGTCCCGCACAAAGTCGGCGTCGGAGAGCTTCCACGGCCGAATCTGCACCGGCTTGTCCTTGATGGTGGGCGACGAGACGCACAGGTAGAGCTTGTCGTCGTCCTGGATGCACGTGTCGATCAGCTGCTGCACAGAGCTCTCGTCCTGGCCGGGCGGGGAGAGAACAGGTCAGCGCGGGGCCGGGACACCGGGCAGGGGCCGATAAACCAGTCCTGAGAGCGAACAAAACTTAAGTGGAGCTGAGCAGTACAAAAGCCAATTCAGTTAAAGAGTAGCAGAGTAACAAACCTACACAAGGGAATGCCCAAAGGTCCATTTTCAGAATAGCGAGCAATTTTATAGACAACCACCATTCACTGAAAACAACCGAATACGACTCCTTCATTTTGTTACGCAGCCCAATTCCACAACCCCTTACTTCTAGCATTATCAGGCTTGCGCGTGAATAACATGCCTGCTATC